CACACACACACACACACACACACACACACGATAGATAGATAGATAGATAGATAGATAGATAGATAGATAGATAGATAGATATCGATAGATAGAGATGGTAGGTAGGTAAATAGGTAGATATAGGTTGGTAGGTAAGAAGGTAGATAGGTAGGTAGGCAGATAGATAATAATGTTTAAGAACACTTCCTGCTTTTGCAGAAAACCAAAGTTCAGTTCCCAGCACCCATGTCGGTGGCTCATAACTGCTTGTAGCTCCAGCTGCAGGAGATCTAATGGCCTCTTCTGCTCTCCACTGACACCACACACAATTGGCATACACGCAGACACACATTCACACACAAATTTAGAAAAAGAAAAATAAATATAAAAAAACTTGGGCTGGGCACTCTGGGGAGTGCATTTAATCCCATCACTCAGGAGGCAGACACATATGGATCTCTAAATTCTGGGCCAGCCTGATCTAACAGAGGGAGTTCCAGGACAGCCAAGGCTACACAGAGAAACCCTGTCTCAGGAGTGTAGTAGAAATTCTAAACAGTCTTAGTAAATAAGAAACACAGAGCCAAATACAGAGTTAAAGCCCAAGAGATCAGAGCACTAGCGAAGCCCAAGACTACCTTTAGCTTACCAGTCACTGCTGTCCTTCCCCTGAGAGAGCTTTTCCTGTGTGACCTATCTTTTTAATGCCTTTCTGTTCTACCTTCTCATTGGCTCTAAACCCAGCCACATGACTTCCTCGTCACTGCCTGTCTATACAGACCTCCAGGACTCTATGGTTTGTACTGGGATTAAGGGTTAGGGTCACCGCTTGGCTGTGTCCTTAGCTACGAATAGACTCTGCCTGCCATGTGATCGGATTAAGGACATGTGTCACCACCACCGGACTTCTGCTAAATGGCTTGCTTTTAGCTCTGATCCCCAGGCAACTTTATTCATATACAAATAAAATCACATTTCAGCACAAATAAAATATCACCATACAGGAGGGGGAGAAAAAGGAAAAAGAAGAGGAGGAGGCAGACCTCTTTGCACCTTCTGATGTTAATTTTTCAGTCTCCACCCACTTTTGTACTATGAAGAAGGAAGCACAAGACTTGAGTCAGCTAAAGAGTCCCAACAGGAAACCAGGTCAGCCGCGATTTGACCAGGAGGTGAGCAACAATGCCACCTGTTGGTAGTTAGCTGCAATTTTATCTTTTTTTAACCTCGCATGAGTTGGGGTATGTGTCTTTGTACCGAATATATAAGTGTGCGCCTGCCTATGAGTGTTGGAGGTAAGAGGTCAGTATCTGCTTCTTTTGTTCTTCACCTTAGCTTTCTGAGACAAGGTGTCTCACTGAACCTGGAGCTTGCCATTTGGACTAGACTGGCCCAGTGAACTCCCAGGATCCACTTACTTCTGTGCCCTAGTGCTGAGATTACAGAGAGACCACAGCCCTGGCCCTCTACATGACTTTGGGGATCCAAACTTACACTTGTGCAGCTAGAGGATTCAAGGCTAGCCTCAGCTACAAAGCAAGTGAGAACACAGCCTGGGCTACCCAAGACTTTCTCAAAAACAAAAACAAAAAACAAAAAACAAAAGGAGGCAGGCAATAGGGAGATGGTTCAGTGGGTAAAGTGTTTGGAGTTCAAGTGTGAAGACCTGAGTTCAAATCCCAGTACCCACAAGAAAACTGAACACGGGGGTTCATGCCTCAGGCTTCCACTGTGGATCAGAGACAAACACACAGACACACATCCGTACACGTAAGTATAAAAAAAAATCTTTAAAAAGATAGTGGGTTCTTTTTGAGTCCTTTCTCTTCTCCAAAGAATGGTGAGAGGGGGACCTCTTTATCAGCTAAGCTGTCTATCTCCCAGCCCTTTTTGTATTTGTTTTCTGTGACAGTATCTCAGGGAATCTAGTTGACCTGGAGTTCGTTAAGTAGCCGATACTGACCTCGAATTCCTGATCCTCCTGACTCTGCCTCCCAAGAGCTGGGATTTCAGGTGAGTTTGAAGCCATCCTGGGCTTTATGAAATCCTGCCTGGTAAAAGTAAAAATAAAAACTAGAAATTGGGGGCGTAGCTCTGTGGGTAGAGTGCTTGCCTAGACTTCAGAAAGCCCTGGTTTGATCCCCAGCACCACACAGAGGCAGCAAGAGGATTATCTGCAGCTACATAGCAAATTGAAGGTTAGCCTGAGCTACATGAATGAGATCACTGACCAGAGGTACTGGGGGTGGGAGGGATAAATGTCGTGTGTGTGTGTGTGTGTGTGTGTGTGTGTGTGTGTGTGTGTGTGCAAGAACACACACACACAGGTACCCTCAAGCATACTTAATGCAGCCTGAGGCCTACATCACTCTTGCTTCAAATGTCATTTCTAAGCTTCAAGGTGCCCAGAAGGAACCTATAAATAAGCAAGGAACTTGAAGAGAAAGTCTATTTACAGACCTGTTTTCAAGGTGGAACCCAGAATTCTCAGGCTGACCAATAAGTATCCAGGACTGAACTTCCATTATAGCAAGCATCCAATAGAAGTAGAAATCGGCCTGGGATTTCTTGTTGCCATAGAAATCTCTATTGAGTTGCTTGTAGCTAAGAGCTTTCCTGGGCCAGGGATGTCAGCTCCAGGTACTTACTGGGAATTTTTGAAGGTGGCAATGAGTAGGCCAGGGAGAAAGAGGGGAAAGAATGGAGGCAGACAGGGCATCCTGAGGCAGTGGAGAGAGTGATATTCACAGGGGGAAAAGGTCACTGCAGGGAAGCTCTTCTCCAAGGACCCGGAAGGAGTTCAAGAGGAGGGCAAGGCTGCTGGAGAACTTACGAGCACTGTCTGCTCTCCCAGAGGACCAGGATTCTACTCCCAGCACCCCATGGCAGCTCACAGCCACCAGTCACTGCAGTCAGGTGCTCAGATGTGCCTGCAGACCCAACACCCATCACATAAAATAAGACCTAAAATTTTTGAAAGGTTAGGGAAAATGTGTTAGTTAGAAATGGGGAATAGCTTTATCAGGAGACTTAACACAGGGTATAGGCAGACATGGGGGTGTTAGAGTTTATAGAAAGGATTAAAGGAGTCATGTGATGAGCTGGGGGAGGGGTTTATGGGTAAACAGCTAAGGACTAGAGAGGACCCCAGAGGATTTGTAGGAGGAAGAGGTAGGGGATCTTTGAGAGAACTGTCTGTGGCCGAGTGTTTTGGAGGGGAGGGGAGAATTTCTTTTTTTTTTTTTTTTTTTTTTTTTTTTTGGTTTTTCGAGACAGGGTTTCTCTGTGTAGCTTTGCGCCTTTCCTGGGACTCACTTGGTAGTCCAGGCTGGCCTCGAACTCACAGAGATCCTCCTGGCTCTGCCTCCCGAGTGCTGGGATTAAAGGCGTGCGCCACCACCGCCCGGCGAGAATTTCTAATGAAGATTTTACAAAAGTGATCATGAGTCTTATTTGGTTTTGTTTTCTGTTTCATGCCTGTGTGTAAGAGAGAGAGAGTGGAGCGCGCGCGCGCACACGTATGCGCACTCATGTGGAAACCAGAGGAATACATTAGATGTCTTCATGTGTGGCTCTCCATCTTATTCAGGGTCCCTCACCGAACCAGAAGTTTGCCAGTTTGGCTAGGCTAGCTGGCCAGGGAGCTCCCTCCCCCACCCATGCTGGGGTCACACATATCTGCGGGACTTGAACTCAGTTCCTCACGATTACACAGCAATGCCCTTACATATTGAACCATCTCCCCAGCCGTGTGTGTGTGTGTGTGTGTATGTGTGTGTGTGTGTGTGTGTGTGTGCACATTCATGCTCAAGTATGAACCTGTTCTGTGCTCCTGTGAAGGCCGGGGGGTTGACATCGTGTCTTCCTGTCACTCCTCACCTTGTTGTTGTTGAGCAGTGTCTCTCACCGCACCTAGAGCTGGCCGTCCCTGGAATCTGCCTGTCTCTAGCCCTACAGTGTGGAGGGCACAGGCATGTGCCGCCATCCCAGGGTTTCCATGGGTGCCGGGGATCTGAACTCAAGTCCTCACACCTGTGCTGTGAACACTGGCTCCGAGCCGTCTCCTCAGCCCTTGGTGGGTTTTCTGTTTGAGTTTTGGTTTTGGCTGGTTTGTTGGTTCCGTTTGTTTGTTCTCGGGAATTTGGGGGTAGTTCAAACTGGCCTCCTAGGAGCTATGCGGCTGAGACTGGCTGGACTCCTCTTGTCAGGCCTTCAACCACCATGGCCACCTTTATTTATTTGTTTGCTTGTCTTTGGTTTGTGAGACATGATCTCCTTATGAATCTCAGGATTACCTGGAACTCAACAATCCTCCTGCCTCTGCCTTCAGAGTGCTAGAGTTATAGATGAAGCACCATGACAGTCTCTGCCCCCCCCCTCTCTCCCCCTCCCTCACCTCCTGTTAGCATTTAAGTATTACCTACCCGGCACCTTGGGGACCTGGCCAATAAGCAGGCAGTGCTTTGGCCTACTCAGGATCCTGATGTCATCATCCCGCCTAGCTCAGCTCATTTGAGAATTTGCTAGGTCCCCTCTAAGAGCAAGCCCCTCCCTCCCCTTTTTCCCTCTCTTCCTCTCTCTCCCCATGAGGCAGCATCTGCACCCCCTTTCCTTCCCCCTTTCCCATCTCTTCTTCTCTTCCTCTCCTCCTTCCTCTTCTCTCGGCTCTTGTCCCCCTCACCACCACCCCAATAAACTTCCCACGTGAGCGCTGTCGCATGGTATGGGTGACTTTCAGCTGAGCCCCTTGGCTCCAACCCGCCAAGGCTGCCGTTTTTAAATTATAACACCCCCCGCTCTCTCTTTCCCTTTCTGAGACACAGTCTTACTGTATATCCCTGGCTGGAACCCCAAGAGATCCACCTATTTCTGCCTCCTGAGTGCTGGGATGAAAGACATGTGTCACCATGCTCAAAGAGTGTTAGTACTGAAGCATCTGTACTGCCCTTAGAGTCCTGACACGATATATCCTCAGCTGCAGCCACTAAGAGCAGCCCCTGTGCGTATATACAAGGAAGGCCTTGCCCACCTCCGTCTCCGTCTCTGTCTCCACTCTCCTCCCCAGGGACCAGGGACAGGTCTCTGACTCCCTTCTCTCCACTTCTCTCCCTTCGCCTCAGTAAACCTCCCACATGGGCCCTGTTGTATGGTGTGACTCCTTCTTGCCATTTTTTTAAATACAACAGTTGGTGCTGTGACTTGGATGGGCTCTCCCAGCAGTCTGAGACGTGCGGGGACCCTGGAACCTGGGCCCCCTGCGACAGCCCTGCTTTCCCTCCTAATGGATCGGATCGCTAGGACTCTCCATCCAACACCCATGACTGTTTTTGTGAGCGCAAGGGAGTCAACTTGGATCTACCTCGAACAACATCTTGCCAGGTCCAAGCGATGCCAGATGGTTCCACAGAGCCTGGACAGCGAAGTGGAACAGCAGCTACCCTAGGATGTGGCCAGCACCTTAGTTTTCTCAAGTCCCCAAAGATGATTGACGCCCCTCGGGCCAGCAGGAAGCAGTCTCGAGAACACGGTGCCCTCCTCCCCACCTCACCCGCTACCCCTTTCTAACTCCTCACCTTTTTATAGATGTAGCCGGGGCGGTGGTGGCGCACGCCTTTAATCCCAGCACTCGGGAGGCAGAGGCAGGTGGATCTCTGTGAGTTCGAGGCCAGCCTGGGCTACAGAGCGAGATCCAGGAAAGCTGCAAAGCTACACAGAGAAACCCTGTCTCGAAAAACCAAAAAAAAAAAAAAAAGGGGGGGGGGCAATGTTAGCATTCAGGCATCTGCACTGGCCTGCCCTTAGGGTCCTGACAGGATAGACCTCACCTGCGGTCACTAACAGCACCCCCTGTGCACATTCATTACTTTCCTTATAAAAGGCGAGCCGTCTCCTGTCTCTCTCTTCTTTCTCTTCCTTCCTTCTCGTCCCCAGGGACCGGTCTCTGCCCCCTTCTCTGTCCCTTCTCTCCCCTCCCTCAATAAACCTCCCACGTGGGCCCTGTTGTGTGGTGTGACTCTTTCCCGTCGTTTTTAAAATAGAACAAAGTCTTATTTTTAGAGGGGCCAAATGGAAGCTTGGGGGTTGCTGACAGCGTTTGGGGAATGGTGTTATAAGGGCCAGTGGATGTTTTAGAGACAAAAGTCATCGGAGTCAAGGATTTAGGAGACGGTAGAAGGGACAAAAAGTGAACCACGGAAGCAGTTATAAAGGGGGAAACAGAGGGGGAGTTTGGGGGCACAGGAGGAAGGCTACATGCCGAGAGAGTACAGAATAGGAGGTGGGGAGTTCTGATGGACAGGAAGTGATGGCGAGTGATGAAGATTAGCCGGGACATCCTGGGAGTTGGAGCCAGTGAAAATATTCAAGGAACTCAGTGAAGATGTTAGAGGAGCCAAATGGAAATGGGGTGGGTGGGTGAAAAAGAGAAGTACCAGAAGCCGGAGGGGTGGCTCAGTGGTTAAGAGCACCGGCTGCTCTTCCAGAGGACCACACGTCAGGCAGCTCACAACTGTGAGAGCCAAAGTTACGTTTTAAGTTGTAACCCCTGTGCCTTAGACACCCATGAAACAAAAATGTCTCTAATCTGTAAGGCCCTTGCCTAAGGACAGTTTCTGAAATGCTGGAGGCTGTTGTTTATGGGACATAACAAGCCACATGTTCTCATTCCCCTAAAGTTTGTTTGACCCAGATGTGCTTGAGTGGGCAGAGGTTCACAGGATGGCGGTACGTCAGGATGTATGCTTGCAGTACGTCAGGATGTATGCTTGCGGTACGTCAGGATGTATGCTTGCCCCTGATGGGACCCGATGGGAAATTCAGTGGATTATTGGTGTTCCTTCTTAAGCCTCTGTAAACTGTGATTCTGGGCCATTTCCTGGGAACCTGGGTCTGGACCTGGCCAGAACCCATCCACCTGGCCAGTATTTAATTAAAGCTTGCTTCAAAGTTGGCTTTAGATGTCCTTGGACTCAGGTGATTGTGAGCTGCCACGTGAGTGCTGGGAATCAAACCAGGGTCCTCTGGGAGAGCAGCCAGTGCTCTTGACCACTGAGCTGTCTCTCTGTAAGGGCTACAGGTAACCTGTCAGCCCCACTGCACAAGAACAGATAACTTCCTGGCATGCTGGGGGCTGTTGTTGATGTAAGATAACAAATCATGAGTTTTCACTTTAGTAAACAAGGTTGGTTGCTCCAACTACACAGGATGTGCTTGATCACATGTTAAGTAGGAGATCGGTAGGCAGGAAGTACATCAGGATTGCCCCTCATTGAACAACAGTGGGAAGTACATAGCCTTGTGGATTTTTCCTTTATGAGCGACCAATTAGCCTAATTCCACACCATTCTCTGGGAATCCCAGGTATAGACTAGCCAGTGTCCATCTTCCTGGACAGTACTTAATAAAGCTTGCTCTAACTGGATAATCATGTGGTGTCTCTCTCCTTGCGCTTTTCAGATTTACCACTCTCCAGCCCCAAAAGCTTTTCTTAAAGAGAGAGGTAAGTAAGAATGAACGGCAAATTCAAAACCCGTGTTCAGACCTGAGGCCCTCTCATGTTTCTAGGTGTTTGAACTTATGCCTGCCAAAGAAGACAGCCAGAGCGATGAGGAGAGTGGTCCTCGAAGCATCCAGGAGACCCCGGAGTACCACTATCCAGCTGTGCTGGCCATCTGCTGCTTCCCTCCACTGGGCTTCTTTGCCTTATTCTTCTCTCACAAGGTGGCGATCTATTCCAACCCTTCATCCCTCTCCACCCTGACTCCCCCTGCTTCCTAGATTCAGATCCCACACCCCATGTTGGGTCCTTTCAGCTCCCCACTTCACCCTCTATTTTAGAACCCTTTTCTAAAAAAAAAAAAAAAAAAAAAAAAAAAAAAAAAAGATTTAGCTGGGTGGTGGTGGCGCACCCCTTTAATCCCAGCACTCGGGAGGCAGAGGCAGGTGAACCTCTGTGAGTTCCAGGTCAGCCTAAGCTACAGAGAGAGTTCCAGGACAGCCAGGACTGTTAAACAGAGAAACCCTGTCTCGGAAAAAAAAAAATTATCATGTGCATTATGTGTTTGTTTGTACATGTGAATGTTTAGCACCTTTGGCGTCCAGAAGAAGGTGTCCGATCCCCTGGAGCTGGAGGTTCAGGTAGCTGTGAGCCCCTGACATGGTGCTGGGAACTGAACTCAGGACTTCTGCCAGAGCAGTGTGGGCTCTTAATCTCCAAGCCACCTCTCCAGCCCCTGTCTGGGAATCCTTTAAAGCTCATCTTTCCCCTTTCTCCCTCTCCCCCGGAACTCAGACAAGAGTCTACAAGGAAGAGAACGAACATGAAAAGGCAAAAGTTGCCTCGGATCGCACCCTTGTTTTGGCCTTGACCTCCCTCATTGTAGGACTCTTCATTCCTCTCCTCTTTTTATACCGAATCTTCTTCTTTTAACCTGTCAGAGCACACGGCCAAACCATCGGCTATGTATGACCGCGTCACTTAACCCTTTGTGCAGCTTTAGACTAGCCAGGACACCTTCTCTGTAATGTCTGGGGCACCCAGCTGTTTGAGATCAGAAATAAAAACAACAGCAATGATATCGTACTGTCCCTGGAGTTTGTACGCTGCGCCGCCCAACACTTCCAATGTCAGACTCCACGACAGACGCCAACTGGAGGTCCTCAAACTGCATTCAGTTCTGACACTCTTTACCTGCCACACACAAGTCCCTGTGGACTCTGCTGTGCCAGGTGGAGAACCAGATGAAGACAAGGGTGAGCCATGCCTGGGGTGGAGGGCGTGGGCGGGCATCAGGACACCCAGTGGTCCTGGATTTGGTGGTGTGACCAACAGGTTATGTATGCTCTTGCAGTTGCCTTTTTTTTTCTTTGATTGCAAATTATTGTCAGGAAAATAAGGCCTTTCCCCTGGAGGCAGCTCACAGGCCCTAGGTCACGTTTGTTTGTTTGTTTTGTTTTTCAAGACAGGATTACTCTGTGTAACAGACCTTGCTGTTGTCTCTCTTTGTAGACCAGGCTGCCCTTGAACTCACAGAGATCCACCTGCCTTTGGGATTAAAGGCATGTGCCACCACACCCAGCCCTGGTCACTTTTGGTTTAGTGAGTATATGAGCCACGTTTCCTTACATCTTTACATGTATGTGTTTTTACTGATGCCAAAGAATTTTACTTTTGGGGGGGCAGGGAGATTGGTTCTTCCAGACAAGGTTTCTCTATGTAGCTCTGACTGTCCTGGAACTCACTATGTAGACCAGGCTGGCCTTGAACTCAGAGATCTGCCTGCTTCTGCCTCCCGAGTGCTGGGATTAAAGGAGAATAATACTTTTACCTTGTTAGATTCTGGATCTTTTGATTTCTATAAATATTCTTGAGCTTCTTGCTGGAGAACAGTTCAGCCTGATGCCTCCAGGTCTTGTCTCTAGTCCTTTCCAGTCAGCTTTATTATTTAATTTATTATTATTATTATTATTATTTATGAGAATTATTTCATCAATCTTACCCAGCCCTCTGTTAAATCTCAAGCCCAGGACAAATGGCTGAGGTCCCTATTTAACATACCAAATTGGACCTGGTGGTGAGGTTCTCCCAGCATCCTTCAGTCCCTAGTTGTTACAGGGTATGGCTGGTATACTACGCCCTCTATCCCAACTCTCCAGCCCAGGGGCTGCTGCCCTTCCCCAGAGGCTCTTTCGTATATAGTCCAGACATTTTGGTTACCTGCCCCATTTTGTACCTTTGGTCCTCCTAGCTGCTGCACCTGGGTCCCTTCCCCTCCCTTCCCCCTTCCTCCCCCTCCCCACACGCCCCCGTAGGCAGATTTTTCTTTGTGTTGCCAGTTCACTAAAGAATGACATGCAGACTTATTATTAATCATGAGAGCTCAGCTTTAGCTTAGGCTTGTTCCTAACTAGTTCTTGCGACTTAAATTAGCCCATACCTTTTAATCTATATTCTTTTCCGTGGCTCAGTTACCTTTACTCTGCCCATCCTGCTTCCTCTCCATGTGTTTGGCAACTCTGCTGTCTTCTTCTCCCAGAGCTCTCTGTCCAGAAGTCCCGCCTATACCTCCTACCTAGCTATTGGCCGTTCAGCTCTTTATTAAGCCAATCACAGTGACACATCTTCACACAGTGGACAGGAATAATCCACATATGGCCCAGCTCAGGGTCACAGCTACTCTGGACTCTCCCAGATGTCCCTGCCTCTGACTATGTTCTCACTTTATCGATAATAAACTGTCCTCCACCACACCTAGGAGCAGTCATGATCTTTCCTTTGTATTTCTTTTCATTCACCTCTACTCAGTGACCACTGGAGAAGGAGTTTTTCCCACTTTGGCTGGTAGAACCTCCCCTTTTCCTTAGCCCTCCATGGGCTCCAGATAGTTCCAGATGGCTGATCCCTCACCCTGGGTGGTGTTGGGTGTTTCCAGTCTTTTGCTCTTTGCTCTTTTGGGGAGCCAGACACCCAGCTCCCAAATAAATCACACATGGAGGTTTATTCTTAATTATAAATGCCCAGCCTTAGCTTAGCTTTTTTCTAGCCAGCTTTTCTTAACTTAAATTATCCCATTTACCTTTTGCCTCTGGGCTTTTTCATTGTCTTACTTCTGTATATATTACTTTCACTCTTACTCCATGGCTGGCTGGGTGGCTGGGTGGCTGGGTGGCTGGGTGGCTGGGTGGCTGGGTGGCTGGTCCCTAGCATCCTCCTCTCCTTGTTCTCTTGCTCTTTCTTCTTTTCATCCCAGATTTCTCCTTCTATTTATTCTCTTTGCCTGCCAGCCCCGCCTATCCATTCTCCTGCCTCACTATTAGCGATTCCGCCCTTTATTAGACCATCAGGTGTCTTAGACAGGCAAAGTAACACAGCTTCACAGAGTTAAACAAACGCAACATAAAAGAATGCAACACATCTTTGCATCATTAAAACAAATTTTCCACAGCATAAACAAATGTAACACATCTTTTACTAATATTCCACAACACCTGGGCTAGCTTCCTCATGTATATCCTGTGTCAGTAGGCCCTCCTCTCCCGGCAGATCCTCTGCAGACTTCGGGTTCTCTCCCTGTCTTGTGTTCTTTTGTCTTATGAATTCCAGCTGCCTTAGCTTCTCTGCAGCCCTCGCTCTTTATCCTCAGCTTGGCAGAGACCGTGGGTTCTGCTGTGTTCCCTCCTGGACGAGGGTGTTGATTTGAAGGAAAATGGCCCCCATAGGGAGTGGCACTATTAGGTGCTGTGACCTTGTTGGAGTAGGTGTGGTCTTGTTGGAGGAAGTGTGTCACTGTGGGGCTGGGTACCTATGCTCAAGCTACTCCCAGTAAGACAGACCACTTCCTGTTGCCTGCAAGATGTAGGACTCTCAGCTACTTCTCCAGCACCATGTCCCACCATGATGATAATGGACTGAACCTCTGAACTGTAAGCCACCACCCCGATTAAATGTTTTCCTTTATAAGAGTTGCTGTGGTCCTGGTGTCTCCTCACAGCCAATAGGAACCCTAAGACAGGGGCTGTGGGCTCTGCTGCATTCCCTCCTCACACAAACACCTGGGGTCTCCTTCCAGGCAGCAAGCTAGAACAATTTTAGGGCTCATCTACTCTCCGTTCTCTTGTACATTACTGCTGTAGGATAATCCTCTTGTATACTGTCAAGATTTGTCACTCAGATTGGTTTAATAAAATGCTGATTGGCCAGTAACCAGGCAGGAAGTATAGGCAGGGCAACCAAACTAAGAATGCTGGGAAGAGGAAGGGTGGAATCAGGAGTCACCAGCCAGACGCAGAGGAAGCAAGATGAGAAGAATGTCATACTGGGAAGTTACCAAGCCATGTGGCTAAACATAGATAAGAATTATGGGTTAATTTAAGTGTAAGAGCAAGTTAGTAATAAGCCTGAGCTACTGGCTGAGCATTTATAAGTAATATTAAGCCTCAGAGTCAATTACTTAAGAAGTGGCTGCTAGGTTCTTGGGAAGAGGCAGGTGGGAGAGAAACTACCGCCTGCACATCACTGCCCTTCCTTGTCTGCTATCCAGTGTTTCGAGGCGACTGTTCGATGGTGTATGTGTGGGGGTGCAGTAGAGAAACTGCCAACATGACCACTTCATAATACAGTTGAGGGTTTTATTGCAGATATGAGGGAGAAAACAGCCAGAGGCTTCTGGTAGAGTTCAGAGCAGAGAGAGAAAGAAGTAGACTCCACATGGCCAGCCGACTGGACTGCCCGGGGCTAGAGACACAGGAGAGTGGGAGAGAATCATGAAGATGGCGAGACAGCAAGAAGTAGAGAATGGAGCATAGTGAGAGAGAGAGAGAGAGAGAGAGAGAGAGAGAGAGAGAGAGAGAGAGAGAGGACTGGAGCAAGTGCATACGGGAGAGCAAATGGATGGCAAGCGACACAAGGAAAGAGAGTAAGTGGGAGTTAGAGACAGGACAGCGAGAATGGCAGGGCTATAGGGGGAATAAGCAGCTGGAGGTGGGAGCCTGCAAGCTGGAGGGGGATTACAGTAGGGAGGTGGGAGCCTGCGAGCTGGAGGGGATTACAGTAGGGGAGGTGGGGAGCCTGCGAGCTGGAGGGGCTTACAGTAGGGAGGTGGGGAGCCTGCGAGCTGGAGGGGATTACAGTAGGGGAGGGAAGAAGGCTAGGATACTAGCATGGCTTTGGAATGTGTAACAGATGCTTGTGATACTGAGGGAGCCTGGAGGCCAGCATGGGCTTTGATAAGCACCACAGGCACGTGCCAATGGAGCCACATATCCCTCTGCAAGGAGGGAAGGGAAATGACTCCTTTTGGCTGATGGGAACCAGTTTCATAAGTTCCTGAGGCTGGCTTCTTATCTAACTGCCAGAAATCCTCCTATAGTCCAGTTTGAGCTCATTTCTGGATATTTGGACAGTCTGAGACTTAACACATATATTTTGTCCCAGTGAAGAAAAGGGTGTTGGGGGCTGGATGTGGTGGGACACACCTTGATCCTATTGATCTGATAGCAGAGGCAGTTGGATGTCTGTGAGTTCAAAGCCAACCTGGTCTACATAGTTCCAGGCCAGCCATAGTGAAACCCTGTGTCTGAAAGTGTACAGTTAAGCAGGGCAGTAGTAGCGTACGCCTTTAATCCCAGCCTTTGAGGCAGAGGCAGGCAGATCTCTGTGAGGACAAGGCCAACTTGGTCTACAAAGCAAGTTCCAGATCAGCCATGGCTACACAGAGAAACCATGTCTCAAAAACAAACAAAAGCCAGGTGGTGCACACCTTTAGCCCCAGCACTCTGAAGGCAGAGGTGGGAGGATCTTTGTGAGTTCCAGGACAGCATGGTCCACAAAGTGAGTTCCAGGACAGCCAGGGCTACATAGAGAAACCCTGTCTTGATATCCACCCCATCCCCCAAAAGTGTACAGTTAAAAACTTTGGACAATATAATCTGGTTCCTATTCCTCCATCTTAGCTAGAAGTGGAAGTGGCCATTAATTTCGTCAGTCTTTACTATCTGGCTTTAACTGGTTTCTGTCATGAACTTCTATTTAGGTGATTTATGAAATGTTTAAAAACTTTTATCAAGGCTGGGCGGTG